ATCCACCCAAAGAAGGGTGAACATCAAATACTGCTATCCACATTCTGTAGGGCTTGTGGAGTTTCCATTCTCCACGCCAAGATATCTAGTAATTTAAGTGTTGGAAATGGGACCCAAAATCAGGTCTCATCACTGTAAATCTACGGAAAATGTCATAATATGGGGGTGGGGGAGGGGAGTAATATTTAAATGATAGTCAAGACATGTGAGTTTTATTCTTGATACTTAACTACCACTACCTAGTAAGGCAACCTTAAAAAGATCACTGAATTTCTAAAGGCTTCATTTTTCTCATCTAAAAAAGGAGAAATCTGGACTAGATGTTTCACACTTAAAAACAGTTATTAAGTCATAAAATACAGGCACTAGGAGATATGAGATAACTAAGTTCTTTCCCCTAAAATAACTTGCTGGTCAGTGAATGACACATGCACAGGAACAAGATAACCAAGAAACAACGTGTTAACAACAGAAGACAATAGATTTAAGAAGGGCAGAGAGGAGTAATTTAGCAAGGAATAGGGACGGGAATTAAAATCTGAATTAAGTCTTAGAAGACAGAAAATTATCCAGGCAAACAGAGGACCAAAGGACATTCCAATCAAAGGGAACAGCATAAACAAAGCCTCAGAGTGGAAAAGCAGCATAGGTTGTAAAGGGAATTATAAACAGTTCAGTATTGTTGATACATAATTGTAGAGCAGAAGAGAGATGTTGCAAGAGTTGAAAGTAGAGGCAGATTGAAGAGATCTATGACGTATTAAGGAAGCTTAACTTTATCCAGTAGGCAATGATGATCCAAGGCAGGGCTTTCACAGGGGAATGGCATAGTTATAATTTTAGAAAGATCACTTTGATACCCATGTGAAGAAAGAGTATGAGTGGTACAAACTAGAAATAGAGAAGCTAGTTAAGAATCTACAGCAGATACGATGAGGCCTCATTCTGGGGTGATTACAGAAAAGGATAATAGGTTCAAGAAATATGCAAAATCAGCAGGATTAGAAATGGATTGGGAGTGGGGTAAAGATGTGAAGGAGAAAAAAAGGCATGGAAAGCATCCATGTTTTTGATCAGGCAGAGACAGAACTCAGATACTGAGTATAAAGGAAGAAACGGACAAAACTATCTTGAGTTTAGCTTAGGACACACCCGGTCAAAAAATATCTAGGTATAGATGTCCAGCAGCCAATTGAATAGAGTAACCTAATGCTCAGGAGAGAGGCCCAGTCTAGAAATTTAAGTGTGGGAGTAAGCTGCAGAGAAGGTTGTAACTGAAATCCCAAAAGTCAAGGTGTCCGCGCAAGGGAAGGTACAAAGTGTCAAGGGTCTTCCACCAGAACCCTGATAAATACCAGAACTGTGCATTAGCCTAAGGGGTGGGGGGGAACAGGAGAGAGGTATACCCCAGAACACAGTGGTGAGAGTGGTCACTCCAAGAAGGAGACGTATATCAACAGTATAAAATGCAGCCCAGATACAAATCCAGGAAAAATAAGAACTGAAAAATGTCTACTAGACTTACTGACAGGGTTCATGACATGATCTCCCAAAAGACAGCACCTTAGCATTTGAGAAAACAGCAAAAGCAGGAAGGTCATTCTTACCCTCCTCTCATCCTTCTCACCTGAGACAGGTCATAAAACTTGGCAATAATTTTTTTACCTTCCCCTGAAATAAGTCATAAGATCCCCATATGAGAGATACCCACCCTATACCCAGAGGAAAGGAATATCCTTATTTCTGAAGAAACAGGGACAGAGAAAAGAATCTGACAAACAAGACTTACTAAGTTCCCTTCAGTTTATTACCATTATAATGCTTTAGTCGCTGTGACTATCCACCTCTTCATCAACCCTAAGCATAAAAATACACAAGTTTGGCCAGGCATGGTGGCTCACTCCTGTAATTCCAGCACTTTGGGAAGCTGAAGCAGGTGGATTACCTGAGGTCAGGAGTTTGAGACCAGCCTGGCCAACATGGTGAAACCCCATCTCTACTAAAAAATACAAAAATACAAAAATTAGCCAGGCATGGTGGTGTGCGCCTGTAATCCCAGCTACTTGGGAGGCCCCGGGCGACAGAGTGAGACTGTCTTAAAAAACAAAACAAAACAGTTTATGTGTGTTTGTTTGGGTCTTCAATTCCAAAGGCTGCATTGTCACATAAAAGTTTTATTACTGAAATTTTATGTTATTCTCTTGTTAATCTTCCTTTTGTTATAGGAGCCTCAGCCATGAACCTAAAATGGGAAGAAAAGATATTTCTCTTCCCCTACATTAGCAATTAACTGGTCACTCAATAATTTATTATAAGTAGTTTCAATCAAGTGAGTAAGGAAGGAAGCTAGACTGCAGTGAGATACAAAGTGAAAACAATGAGTATAAGACTAGCTTTTTGAAAAACTTAAATCAGCAGGGAAGCAATTCAAAATTTAATTAAGATTGAAAGTTCTCAAGCCCCTTACAGTTCTCATACTCCGTTTTTTTCATATAGATAAAAAGCCTATTTTTGTAAAATTTCATTAAACCCATATTGATTAAATATGAAATAATATCTTTATTTATCAGAAAAACAAGGGACTTGAACTGTAGCTAGCAAAGGGATATATATGTATATACGTATATACATATATGTATATATACGTGTGTGTGTGTATATATATATAAAAAACATTTCCCAACATAACTTAGAAATACCTTGTAAAATTATCTTTTTAACAATGTACTAAAGGGGGCTAGGGCAAAGGGAAAAGCAATGGTGAAGTAACCCTCTCTTGCACCAACTGTTTCTTCTTTAATTCCTCATAAAGACATTCTTCATTGCCCTCTGCCTGGAATATCCTTCTTCTCTGTTTTAATTTGCTTAACTCCTACTCACTCTTCAAGGACCTGCTCAAAGTCCACCTCAGAGAATCACAGAATGTCAGGGACAAAAAGGGCCTTACAAATCCACTGAATCCAAATGTTTCTAATATGCTGATGAAGAAACTAAATAAAGATCAAAGTTTCAGAGAATAACCTGCCCAAGGTCCTATTACTTGTAGCTTAAGGCCAGGGTGGAATTTGAACTTCTTCAACTAGTACCCATTTCAGTAGACCCATTACTTCCTCACGTAATTGTTATTTACAGAATTTAAGACTGCAGTAAGTCAAGCGCTAGTGATAATCAATTTTTAAAAATTTATTTAGTGTAAGATCCATGTTACTAACACTTTTGAAAACTAAGGAGCTGACCTACAACTTACTTGTTAGTTTGAGTCAACTACCTACAGCTACTTGATTATACAAGATTACAGATGTCAAATAATATTTATTTCATGGATAAATAAGCTGACTGTCAGTCACTAAATAGGATCCTTCCCCAAGAGTGCAGCATTTATTTCAGCCTCTGCCAGTGGAAGTGTTGGAGCAGATGTTGGCAGACTGTGACATACAGTATGTCTTTAAAACTCGTTGGGGTGTGAAATTTCATAAGGTCAAAAAATGCTGCATTTTGATCAGCAGATACAAGAATTCTGTACTTTTATAAGAATTATTTCAGAAAAACCAATAACATTTGCTAGTAAAATAGATAAACTAAAAAGCTACACTGGTTTTAGGTAGGGCATTGAGATAATATATGCTGCTTATGTTCTAAAAGCTAATTTCTATCACTTTAAAGCAAATGCTCACCCAAAAAGTCTTTAAAATGAAAATGTGTTCTTAAGTCAATACAAAATACAATATATTATTTCAGTTGACAATAGGGTTTAAAAAATAATTTTCTATTGAAAGAAAGCCATTATTATCTAATGAGCATTTTGGTGGAAAAGAAGATGTTTTTCTTAACTAACACATATACTTCACAGTGATCTCATTTAAAAAAATATCTATATAAGAATCCACTGATATAAACAGAGAAAGGTTTTTTTTTTTAAAGTTAGTATCCATATCGTTCAAATGACTTCACAAATCTTTTAACCCTTTGGTTGTTTTATCTTTTTCTTAAAAAAAAAAATACAGTAGCCATTCTAACCCACTAACAAGGGCTAACCTGAATAAAACAATAGGAGTAAAAAAAGATCAGGGCTTTTATAATGGTAAAATGAAATTTGTAATATTCAAAGACTTATTTTCTTGAATTTTTTTGTTATATTATTGCACTTTTTAGCTTCAAATATCCCTTATATCTTTTTTTCCCCAAATGTGGCTAATAGATAACATATAACCAAAATCAAAATTAAGGATATTGTCTCATTAAAGATTTTAGCTTATTAATACAGACTAGCCAGATCTTAACACAAGTTTATTTAACTTAACGTAATTTAAAACACTTTAACAAAGTGTTTTAACACTTTAACAAGGAACACTTTAACAAAGAAAGATTCTCTCATTGATTAATTAGTAAATTTGAAAAGTCGGAAGAGCCTGGTAATAACATAACAATAATAATCATTGTCATTATCATTGTCATGTTTCAGTTTATTTTGTGCTATGTTCATGCAAATACAAAATTTCTAAGTAAGTTTTAAACATTTTTGTTAGATATTTGTAAGGAAGAAAAATTTAACTACGAACATAAAATCTACCCAGAAGATGATTTCTAACATAAATCACCTGTTTCTCATCACACAATCAAAAGAGCTAAGATTATGACAGGAAACTGATTAAAATGCATTAAGTACCACAACATCTTATAACCATGCTAAATCTAACAACCAAGTTCAAAGGTCCTTGTTTTTATTTTATAAAGAAAAACTTGAAGTATATATTTGGGGAATTATATTTATCACATTCAAGTTCTACATAGAAATATTAAATTCTATTGCATTGTATAAGACCAAATATTATCGATAACCTCTATGGTAAGGAACTGAAATTCTATCAAAGCTGAAAATTTCTCTATTAAATATAAACCCAAACTTTTTCACAGGTTTCTCATATATCTTAAGATATTTGACAGATAAAATCATAAAAATAAATAAATACAAGGTGAATCAACAATTATAATTAACTTACTTGCCACTGAAAAGTTGTTGAGGGGATAAGGTAAATCCACATCTTGAGGTTTCTCTTTATATCCTATGAATGAGCCATCTGTCTTCAAAAGGAAATATCTTGGCCTCCAGTTTTTTATATATTCTCCTACATGAGGAAAGCACGCATGTTAATGCTGAAAAAAATGAACAGCAGCTTTTATGCAAAAAATAAATTATGGTACAATATATGTCCTACAACACTGGCCTCCAAAAATTTAGTTACGCAATTTTCTTTTAACTTAGCTTACAAAAGAAAATACATAAGCCTACAATTAAGATTCAATAAAAACCCAAACATGCTTTGTTTTTAATGATTTCACACTTTGATAATTCATTTGCACCATTATTCCTTCAGAGAATCATCTGAGTACACATTTTGTTCAGTTTTTCATTTTATCAGATGGTTGTCAGAGCATATTTTCAGCTGCTTTACAAAGCCTTGGTAAATCATCCACACAATATCAATGAATTTCCATTAAAAACACTTATCATAAGAGGGGCAAGAAATAGATGTTTCTCTTCCACTAATTGTGCCTTTTTTTCAAAAAAGAAAGAAAGAAGTCTATTTTCATTAATAAATCTAGACTATAACTTGTTTAAGCAACATTTTATTGTTCTTCATAGAAAAATAACCTTTTTGCAATGCTGTACTTAAGAAAACGAAAGCACATGGGTTAACAGGGCTTTAAACGATATGCAAACACACACACAAACATAATAACTATTAATATATGGTACAGTGTCAAGTACATAATAGTCAATAAATGTATACTTTATTAGAACTTAATATAAGATACCACCTAGCCACCAAAATACACATTTTTAGCAACCACATTACCATTTGCTTACCTACTAAAGGACAACTTCTAATTTTAAGCAACAGAGGTGCTCCATGATGCTACAAGAGCTAGAAGGCTATCTGGTATTGATTCAGTTCTCTACTGGTTATTTCTACCTGCTGATTAAATCTCAAATGCTCAGGCAAAGAATTACAAAAATATTGAAAACAGTTCAATTTTCCCTATAAAACAGCTTCTTCCTGTGACCCAAACTCAAACCCAACATCTGACGGCTCCCCTCATCACAGGTCAATACTGCCATCAAAAGTCTCTCTGATTGAGCCCAATCTAATTGAACCCTTATTATATTATATCTACCCTTCTGTTAAAACTGTTTTTCCCCACTCCACTCATTCCCCACTTCCATCCTAATGTATCTATCACCTCCAGATTAATCTTGTGTGTACCACTTTATCACTTTTCTGCTCAAAATATCCTGTGACTCCTTACTACTTACTGTAAAGTACAGTCTCTTACCATAAAGTGTAATCCAAATATTTTACTATAAAAGGCACTCTCACCCCAACATGTATTTCAGATGTGGAATCATTCCTCTCAATCAGCAATTCTTAAACTTCTTATCTTAGAACCTCTTTATACCCTTAAATATTACTTACAGCACCAACAAATTTTGTAGATTTTTATCTATGTTTACTGTATTTGAAATTGAAAATAGATTTTATAAATTACTTCATTTGAAAATAAATTTATTACATATAACAAATAATACATTTTTATAAAAATAACTATTTTCTAAAAAAAAAAAAGAAAGAAAGAAAAACGCAAAGACTGGCACTGCTTTCCATTTTTACAAATCTATTTAATGTCTGGCTTAATAGAAGACAGCTGAATTTTCTTAACTGTTCCTGCCTTCAAACTGTTGCAGTATGTTGTTTTGGTTTAAATTTAGGGGGAAAAATCTGGTTCAAACAGATATGAAGCTGAAAAAGGGAAAAATATTCAGATAGTTATGGGTATCATTCTTTGATACTACACCAGAATTCAACAAGGGATAATTTCTAAAAGGTTAGTTGCAACGTAGAATTTGAAACTTTATCAATGAACTTTCTGTACTGTTATGTGAAAATCCATTGATCTATATTGGACTTTGAATGAATCTTTAACACTGTATATAATTTTATAACATTATGCATTGGTCACATAGAAAACACTGGCTTATCGTACTATGCTGATCTTCCTAATGTTGACACATTTCATTATACAATCACATTTGTTATCAATACCAGTCTCACGAAAAAAGTAAACATTGGAAAGCTGACAAGCTCATGACAACAGATCTGTTTTCCCAAATTTAATCTTTGCTTAAAAGCTCAATTTCCATCAGTGACAGCATATACTGTCAGTTGTTTTCCTTGCAGTGATAATTCTCTACATGCCCAAGCTGGTACCTACCACTTAATGCTCACTCATGATTTATTAAACAAATGAATAAATAGAGGATATGTAGATCAGTGTCTTCCACGTAAGTATGTAAGGGCAAAAATTTAAAGAAAAAAGAAAAAAAAGTGATGCCCCTCTTCACTTCATTTTACTGAAAAAATACGGCCGTAATATTAATAAGCACATGACTTAATAAGCCAAATTTATAAAACTAGAATGCCTAATACACAATTACCATGTTGAAAAATAAAATAATTCCTAATTGCTCTTATTTTTCCATTTCATTTATTCCTATATAAAATTCAAAATCATTAGGTATTAATTCTCCAATTAATGACATATTTAGACTTCAAATGTTGTACAGCAATAAGAGATTTATACTGGTACAATATGCTTTTAACTCTGTCAAGGTAAATAACAATAGTTTAATAATTATACCAAAGATAAAATGAATCAAATCCATTTGAAAAATATAAAAGAAAACACAGAGTAATACCATTTATTCTTATTTTAAAATAGTACTGAACACACTTATTCAAGAAATGTAAAATTAAAAGAAATCAAATTTTCAATTCTAAGCATAATTTTCCTCTATGTACATCCTCAGATGAAAAACACAAAAACATCATTATATAAATCTTATATCTTTTTTATTAAGCCAATTTTTTAATTTTTAAAATATTTTCTGTGATCTATAGCAGGACTTCTGGTTGCCAAAAAACTATTTAAAAATAAATGTATTATGCATCCTTTAAACATAATACAGTATGCCAAGAGAGTGATATACTCACTCACATAGAAAAAAAATTTAAAGGCAAAAATTTCCCTTCTTGCTTAAAAAAAGTATTATTTCTCACAAACTTTCAAATAATTTTAAATTGAGTCAGTTAATCAACAATTATACTGTCATACTAAGCCAGAAGCAGATCTCAAACTTTCAATGAAGACTCCTGAATCTATTTTCTTGTCATTTTTCATCTATAATATGAATGAACTTTCTGAGAAGATGCTTAGAATGCATTCATTATTAATTTGTTACAGAGGCTGGACCAAAAAAAAAAAAAAAAAAAAGACAACTTAATAGAGCTTAATTCAAGTATTATACCAGGTTTCAGGTGCCTAACTGTTCAAAAAGGAACTGAACACTTTCGTCTCTAGCTCAGAAGTTGAGGCAGTGAGAGTTCAGATGAGGCACGTGTTGTCAGGATGTTCTAAAATATGGACAGAAAGTCCTAACTTTTATGAGGCTAAGTACCCAGAACAAAGTACCCTCCCTGCCACCAATCCTTTTAAGACAGACTGCTAAAAGTCAATCTTATATTTTAAACACAGAATTTGCATCTAAGTTTACACATGATGCATTAAACCCAAATTGCATTGTACTTTTATGTTTATGGTCCATAGGTTTCAACTAATTTAAAACACAACCTGGTTATATGGAAAGTCTTGCCAAAAAAGAAGGATTTATGATGTGCCAAGTATCCCAAAGAGATTGTTCTATCGACACCCAATATACATCTACATAGTAATGGATAGTCAAGATAAACCTTCAGCATGCACTGCAGTCACAACTGGTTAAGACTTTCAACCCAACCTCTTCTACTTTATATATATATATATGTATCTTAATGGGTGCTTCCACTTCCTTCTCACACTCTTTGGCTGGAAGCTATATCTATGTTGAAGTATGCTGTTATCAATACCAAAACAAATACGTTTCCCAACAAGGATTCTGGTATACTGGCTTCTGGTAGTGAGCTGAATGGTGGACCATTGGTTGATGTATATACCCTAAACCCAGGACCTGTGAATATTACCTTATGGTAAAAAAAAAGAATGAATATTACCTTATATGGCAACACACGTGACTAACGATTAAGGATTCTGAGAAGAGGGGCTTCCCCTGGAGAATTACCTGGGTAGGCCCTAAATCCCATTACAAACGTCCTTTTAAGAGTAAATTGAACACACAGAGAAAAGGAAGGGGGAATGTGGCCACAGAAGCAAAAATCGGAACTATGGGCCAAAAGCCAAGGAGCACCTGGAGCCACCAGAAGCAAGAAGAGAAGACGAGTGGGTTCTCCCCTGGAGGCTTCTCAGGGAGTGTGAACCTGCTGACACCTTGATTTGTAACTTCTGGCCTCCAGAATTGTGGCAGAATAAATTTCTGTTGTTTTATGCCACGCACTTTTTATTAATTTGTGACAGCAGTCCTAGGAAATACAGCTCCTAAAACTACGACCAATGGCTTTCTAACAGAGCCAAAAACTACTACTTATTCATCGAGTTCTTGGCATAGGACATGTACAGATTCACAGTTAGTACCTTCTGAATGCAAAGAGGAAAATCCACATCACTATTGTAAATGGTACAGAATCCTATTTGTGAATTATGAGGGCGGAAGAAACTGTTTGCTAGAATTCATGATTTTACTTAGTCCTAATTAACTTCAGATTCTGGACCTTTGCCACCTTTCTTACTTCACTTAATAACGTATTTCCTGTAGTTTGTTAAAACAAACGATCTCAATGGTTCTGAGTAAAATTTGGCCACAGAAAACATCCTGAATTTGCACAGCTGAGTAAAAATACTGCATTATTTTGGAACTCAGGCTTAGTCTTTTTTTTTTCTTTTTTTTTTTTTTAGACAGAGTCTTGCTCTGTCACCAGGCTGGAGTGCAGTGGCGCGATCTTGGATCACTGCAACCTCTGCCTCCCAGGTTCAAGCGATTCTCCTGCCTCAGCCTCCCAAGTAGCTGGGATTACAGGTGCACACCACCACAACCACCCATTTTTTGTATTTTTAGTAGAGACGAGGTTTCACCATGTTGGCCCGGATGGTCTCGATCGCTTGACCTCGTGATCCA